CATAAGATTGCTAAAAATGACTTTATGAAGTAGTTGTCATTTATCTCTCTTTAATAATTTAAAGAAATTATTGCACAGAAAGATTAACAAATGTGTCCATATACAGCTAGTAAGCAAACACATGTAGACTGGCCTCAGAGATAATGCTTTTATTGATATGCTGAAGACTTTCTCCTCCATAGTAATTATAAGTAATAATGTGTTCAATGCTTACAATGTACCATGCTATGTGCTTTGCAAATATAACTCACTTAATTTTTACCATTAACTATGAAACATGTGATTCCTCCATTTTAGAGAGAAAGAAGCTGAGAGACAAAGTTGCATGCTTTGCTACTTCCACTGTGGCACATGGCTTTTATTCTACTAGTCAATGTTTTTGATAGATCCATGTGATTAGCCTCATTCAAATCCCTACTAAATCTTCAAAAGATTATAAACAAATATTTAGTAACATAACAGATGATATTCCTTTACAATTTTCAARAGTCTGGCTTTCACTTCTTAATATATTTAACTTTGAATAATCATTGACTTTAACTCAATAAATTGTTTCTAAGAAAAAATAACATTGAAAAATAATAGAAATCCCTGAAATCTGTATTTACAAAAAGTTGGATATARTGTTCGATTTCAGGTAGTTAATACTCCTGAGGACTGAATGTAATATGGAATGCTGCARCAGCTCTATCTAAACCATTCAGTGCATAATTGTCTCTTATGTACCTAATGCAGAATTCCCAGGGATTTTATTAAACAATGGTTCTGAGACTTATTAGAAAGATAAAATCCTCTGTATAATCTCAGTCATTCAAATGTAAAGTAAAATGCTTCTGTCATTATATTTAATCTATTTTTCATATTAGATGAAAATATCACTACTTTTGCCAAAAGTATTGACTAAGAATTGACACAAGACCTGACCATGTAACAACTTAAGTACATTTACAAAGAGATAAGCTCTACTGGACTAAAAGGTGGTTCTCAAAACCCCAGTGTCTAAAACAGAAGACCTCATGCCTATTGTCTTGTCTATCCTAATGTAATTTTTGATCATTTTAGTCACCAAATGYCACATACCTGCCACATTTCAGGTAGTGTACAATTTCTTCACAACCATTATTGCTTATCCCAGTGGCAACCTCACTAGARAGGTGCCATTATCTATGTTTTAAAAAGAAGCAAAAACAAGAAGTTTCTAGTCAATATAAAAACAGAATTCATAATAGAATTTTCTTGTGTTATTTATGGTCCTAATAATTTCACACCATTATCCAAATTCTTGCCTACACCTAGTATTATTTTGGAACAAAAGAGCCAGATTGTGAGGGAATATGAGAAAAAAATTATTATGATTTGCTGAGACTTCTATAACACTCTGAGTTCACAAACTCACTTTACATATAATCAAGAGAATAAGATATATTTAAAACTATCTTTATCATTTTCTCATTTCCAGATAAGGAAATGAGGTTTCAATGTTCATGAGTTTATCCAAGTTCCCTCAGCAAATAAGAATCAGAGTCAGTTTCTAATGGCAGTTTATTAATCCTAAAATCCAGTAGGTATTCTGCTATACACTTTGGTAGTCTCAGAGAATGACTGGATATAGTTTCATGTGGCCTATCAGACAAATGCTTTGCCTCTTAAGATGAGTGGTAAGCATGGCTGAGGGTCAAAGAGTAAAGAAGACAATCTCTGCTATATGTGTGCCATATAAGCCTGCTTAGGTTGMGTTCTATCCTGGAAAACACTTACCCAAGTAGTTGTACTCCCTGAGCATGGAATTATTGTGTGTTTTTACTCTGTATCATGAGAAAATTAAAAATTTACAGGGCCATATGCTAGTTTTGTTCTGCCTGGAGTATAGAGACATAAGTTAACCTAGACTTGTAAGTAACRACTTCTTCGAGTAAAATTTCCATGTGATGCCTGGATTTTATATTGAAGTTTCATATAAGACAGTATGATGAGGTTTATACTTTTACTGTGAAATTCTTGTTGAAGATATTTACTTTTCAAGTTAATGAAAAAAAAATCTCAGAAAAATTTAAAAGCCACTTACCTCTCATTGAATGGATTCAAATAAACATATAGTTGTAAAACATTCAGCATTGCAGTTGCCCTTTTGGAGTCCAGACGATGAATTRGCTATTTCCAAAAAGCACAGTTCAAGAAGCAGGGGTAAATGTGTCCAGACTAGAAAAAAGTATGGTCACTTACAGTTTTTCAGACTTCGTGTAAATAGTAATATCATCAGCATTGCCAAGTTGGACAATAAAAGGCAGTATGTAATTGGTTACTTCTATTTCCATAAGCACTCACTTAAATTTTTATTCAAATTTTTATTGAGTAGCTTCTATGTGCCATAATTTTTCTGGTTTGAATTTATCAGTGAAACAAAGATTCCTTTCCTTGAGAAGACTGCATTCTAATAAGAGAAGGGGACCGGCAATAAACAACAAATATACCAAGTGAATAAGGATACAGTATTTTGAACTGCTTTGAGAACTATAAGAGGAAAATGGCATTGGACAAAGAGTATCAGGAGCACTGGGAATGTAAGGGAGAATAGTTTACTGGATTAAACAGGGTAGGCTGGTAAGTCCTCATCTAAGAATTAAAATTTTTKCAAAGATTTGAAGAAAAGGAAAGAATTAGCCTGCTGATTACTATGAAACAGAGCCTTCCAATTAAAAGAAACACCTAGTGCAAAGGACAGTAGATAAGAAGATGTCAGGTACCTTTGAAAAATGCAAAGTCAGCCTAGTGGTTACAATAGAAAAATCAAAAGGAAAGAATACTACAGAGTAGTCAAAAAAGGTCACAAATGGAATAGACACAGATTATTTAGGGCAATGATATGTACTTGGGATTGTATTCTGAGTGAAAAGAAAAAATACTGGAAGGTTTTGATTTAAATAACTTCTTTGAAAGACCATTGTAGCAGTTTAGAAGTTTTGCTGTAAGTCAGGTAAAAGATGATGGTAGTTTGATTCAACATTCCATCTGTGAAGGTAGTTAGAAGTACTAGGATTCTAGAATAATTGTCAAAGAGCTAATAGGATGTCCTGACCAATWGTCATATGTGAAAGAAAGAAAGGAGTCAATGAAGCTTCCAAGTTTTAAGTCTGATCGATTATAAGTAAAATTATTTTTTTCATGTTTTTACTGTTCTACATTAGAATTACATTTTTATTTTATTAATAACTCATCCTAAGGTAAAAGTATTACCGTTGAGATATTACAATCACAACTTATTTTGGGGAGTGAAGACATTGTTCCTATACTCTTTTTAATTTTAATTTTGAATAATTCACCACTTTATAATTATGAGACAAAGCTATATTTTAAAATGTCAGAAAACTTAAAATTATATAATTATATTTTCCTTCTCATCTGAAAATATCACAATTGTTCAACATGGGGAATGCCCTTTTCATTTTAGCTTTTAGAACATGTGAATATATCTTGGTAAACCATGCAGTACATTTTTGCTGTCTTTTATTTTACTATTTCTAATATGCTTGGGAATGACATATTTCAAGCAATACTCTGTATAACTCTGGGAGACAGTAGGGATGGAAAGATTTTAAGAATCTGGAATTTCAGTGACTGTGGTTAACAGGAGAACTCCTTGCCTAGGAGTACAGCAAGGAGTTTGTATGCTTAGATTCAGCACCAACAGAAGAAGAATGGGGAACTTGTAATGCCCTATGTTCACTCAAAATCAGAAAGTGTCCTATGCAAAGACCAAATCTATGACCTTGTCCTCATTGCCAATGCCTCAGACAACTGGGTTGTAAAATCACATTTTTGTTCATTAGGCTTCATTTCTTCACCAGAATCATCTAGTCATAAGTTATCCTCTATTTTCTTCAGAACTCTCATTTTTGTATTTTCTCATCTATGTCATTCTCCTCATTTTTGATATTCAGGAAGATTAATCACATCTTTGTTGGACTTCCTAGAAAGTATTAAAATTTGCTTGGATAAGAAACCTCAAAAATTATAAATGTCACCATCATTGGTAAACATGGAAATGCAAAAATAAACACACCACTATAAAACTCAACAAGGTGTGGTAGATACTTTTTTTTTTCTTTTGAATACCTGAAGATCTCAAAGAATGACTTTCCTTATTGTCAAGGGTCTAGTGGAAAATTTAAAACACCAGGTGTTAATAATGTATGTACGAGAACCAGTTTTCTTGACTTTGGTGTTATCTTTTAATGTTTAATCCAGCTGCTGCAAAGATCTGGTTCCCAAAAGTCACTTAGGGAAATATAAAGGCAATAATAACGTTACTGAAATATTTGCAGGAAAGTAATTTATAACAATTTTTTAACAGAGATAGAAATAAAGTCTTTTTTTAATTGTTGTTGTTTTGTTTTGTTTTTGTAATCTAAAGATAACTTCAGCATTTTTGACAATACTGGACAGTTATGGGGATGGCAGGGGAAGGAAAGCAAAGTCATTTGAGGAAGTAAAAGGCATTTATCTGCTACGGAGGAAGAAATTTTAATGGATGTACAGAATCGTTTTTAAGAAGTGCAGACAAATGCAAAATGTCATTATTAAGTAATATCATTAAAGAGACCGTTCTTTCTCACCACTGACTTCTCTGAATCATCTTAGGGTTCCCAGACTTCCTATGTCTGCCCTCCAGCAATGACGCCCCTTCTCCCAATCATTGTCAGGAGTTTTAAGTGGCATCTTCAAAAAGAAGCTTATTATCTTCCTGCTCCCCCAGCATCTCTCTGAGTGACACACCACCCACGCCTCCCTGAACAGCTCTCCTCCTTCCACAGCTCCGGAGGGAATCTGAAGACCTAGAAAGGGAACCCAAAGCCACCTTTGCCTGAACCCTGAGACCAAGAAGAGGATCCTAGTTCACCCACTAAATTGAGCCCAGGCGAGTCTGCCGCCCCCCGCGGCGCGCTGCAGGAGTAGGAGCCAGCCCTGCGCTGTGCTTCCAGCTGCCTCTGCCCGAGCTCGGCACGTGCTCCTGGCGCTGGGGCGAGAGAGCGAGCGCCACTACCTCGGGTCCCGCATCCCTTCTGCCGGCTGCCACCACTGCCTCCATCGCTGCCACTAGCGCTCCAGCAGCAGCCAAGGCCGCTATGAAAGCGCAGGAAGCTTGCAAGGAGCTGTTGGCCGGGGGCGCAAGGCTCCGGGAGCGCACCTGGTAAGCACAGCGCGATTTTTCTTTCTCTCAGCTGTAGAGTTACCGGGGATGTAGGATGCCGCCAGAGCCCCTCCCCCAGTGCAGAGATAGAGAGCAATCAGGAAAGGGGCGGGAGCTTGRGCTAAAGGGACCCAGAAGGGCAGGTGGTGGGCAGGTGGAGGACTGGCGGAGTTAGGGATGTTGTGAGGTCCTGTAAGTTTAGTAAAGTCACCCTACAAGGACATGTGCCCTGTGAACCAGAAATGAATTTTGACTCAGGAGCCCAGGCTATTGCGGTGTCCCTCCAATGGGAGGTTTATGAAAATATTTTTGTTTTTATTTGCATAAGAGAGATTCAAGTGGGCTCGTTTCCATAGAAAATGAACTAAAAAAAAAAAATCAGAGAAGGGGGGGAACTGAGCCAAAGGAGGCGTTTGCACATTTTCTCCCCCCCCCCTCTCTCTCTCTCTCTCTCTCTCTCTCTCTCTCTCTCTCTCTCTCATGCCGATACATGTGCACAGAAGGCATGCATTTACCAAGGGAGGGGACTTCTCTCTCTTTGAAGCCATTAGATGTTTGAAGGCTAATCGAATCACTTGCTGATGCTTCACCCCAAAAAGAGGCAGCAAAGGAGGGACATGGTTGGATGTGAATACCAGTGTTACATTTCTAAAATGACACTTCCATGACTACAATAGCAGGAGGGAGAGGTTTTCTAGAACTATGGGCCATTTTAAGGGATACACCTGCAACTCTGGACCTCTAAACTCAAGTTCATGTCACCTCTATGGGGTTAGGAAGACATCTTTACTCTCAGTTCCCTTATAGAACTTTAGCAAAGGATAATGACAGAGAGGGACATTGAAAGAAAGAGGGAAGAGAAGGAAGCTGAATATGACTGAATGGGCTGCTGGGGTGGTAGAAGGAGAAAAAGCCTGCCAGTAAGGTTTGGCATCATGGTGTTCATTCAGACCCCATTCCCCCAGCAGTCCCAGAGATGTTCTATAGGGAAATGTGTGACCTTGAGCAAATCTTTTAACCTTCGTATAGTCAGTTTCTCCATCTACAAAATGTAGAGGTTATTCCACATTTCTGGACACTGAGGTCTCATGTAATAATGGCTTTGATTGTATGGGTTTGAAGACCTGCATACAAAACAGGGAGACTATCCAGAAAACACGGATAAAGGAAAGCTTCAAGGTGTTATTCCTCAAATTAGTAAAGGCATTTGCAAGACACTGGCTGTATTGTTGCATGTTGAGAGATCTGCGGAAATGAGAGAGGACAATCAGACACTTAGCTTGCTGCTAAAGGAACCTGAAGTTTTGAGATTTGTTTGAGGAGATTCAGATCCACAGAGCCTAGTCACATGCTTTTTAAATGTGGCAGTTGAAGAAGACACTTTGGTGACAAGCTGTGAAAAATTTTGAATTTGAGTATTTGGGAAATTATCTAAAATTAATTCTGACACAAGGAAAATGACATCCCAGTTTAAAGGTTAGGTATTTGGGGTGGCAAGAAGAAGGGTTCGAAGTGGGATGCAAGTATATTTTGGTCTGGGAAGAGGGTTTAAGAAGGGAGAGGGCCATGGAAATTCCTCCTAGGACATGGGTTTCTATACTCCTTGGACATATCTCACACCTACAGTGTCCTTGACACTTCTTGCACTTGACTGAAGAGGTTACAAGTATCTTTATTCCTTCAATAAGGGCTTATTCTTAGAATTTAGGAATTTGCATGCCAGTTTCTGAAAAGGGGAACATGTGAAAATTCAACTCCTGGTGGGGAGGGGGGTTTCCTTCAGCTCCCCCACCATGTGAGCATCTGGCTGCAGAGCTAGTCTACCCATCCAGATTCGCCCAGGAGGCTGTGTTCCTAAAGGAACTCACTGTGCCACTTGGTGGCACCAAAAAGTTGCGCAGAGAACTCTGTTCTCTATAAATACAAACTACCACCCCTCCCTCCTCCGCTCTCTCCCCTTCCCCCCCTTTCTTGGTAGCGGGAAGATTGCTGCACACAACGCCCTCAGCTTGGCTGTTCTGCGCGCGCTGAGCACAAGGGATGAGCTTGAGATCATCTTGGGGTGGGGTTGGGGGGAGCCCAGCACTGGAAAGACCGGCTCTACCCCGCTGACCCCCACCGCCCAACTTTACATGGGGCTAGATATACCGCGTCTCACTGTCCACTGCCTGGCCGACAGGGGGTAAGCTTGCTAAGTGTCTGTGTTCCCAAGTGTCCCCTGGCCTGAGAAGGATTTAGGAGCTATTAGCTTGCTAAATAGCTCACAGTTTGGTTTGGGGGAGGGGGACATGGATGGAGTGGGAACGGCCAGAGCCCATAAGGTTCATGTCTGCTCCATTTGCGGACAGTCTGGGTAAACCTGTTGGTGGAAAGGGAGCAAGCAATGGGATAAAGGAGGGAAGAGCTGCAAACATTGAGACAGGGATTCTGCATGCCTTCGGACCAGAATCCCAGCTCTCAAGGAAAGGGGCGTGTGGTTTCAAAATGCAGATGGACTCCCCTAACCACCTAAGGGCTAGAAATCGAGAAAAGCAAAGGTAGAGAGGGAAAGGAAGGAGAATCCTTTCTTTATAAATCCAGTCACAGCCTCTCTGTGGCGCTTGCTGCAGAAAGAGGGGGACAGCGGGTGGTGCTGAAAGCACATCTCTTTCACTCTGGCTAGAGTGCCTTGCTCTGAATACCATTCTAAACCCTCCAGCTCTTTCTACTCCCAGGGATGCATCTTTCTCTTCCCTTTAGACACAAAGCTTACTAATTCCTCAGCATCATAAGCAGCATGTGGTGAAGAGAGCCTAGACTACAGCGACCTGTAAAGAGAACCCTGGGCAGGCCCAGGAGTGCAAAGGCTAACTGGTTGGCCTGAGCCTAACCTACTCTTGGGACCTCTCAGAAGAAAGTGATAAGTTACCCTGGAGGGTTCTTCCACCTGCTGCTGGAGTTTCAGTTGTTCAGGTTTCTATCTTGAGTGGCTACGGGTTGGAGGGGAATTTGAGAAGAGTATAACCAGTGTTGGACTTATTTAGACACAATCTTGGTACCACCTCAGCTGATCTGTAAGCTTGTGTAGCCAGGCAGATTTGCTGTCACTTTACTTTTTGAAAAGAAATTGACACAGGCCAGTGGAATGCAGCTTCTCATTTCTGCCTATTTCTATATTCTCTGCATTGGATTTTATGGTTTGGAGTTCCTCAGGACTGACATAGAGATGATCTATATTCCTACAATGGGCTGCTGTGGGATTATAACAGCCTAGGGAGCATTGCTTTGGTCTAAATGCATTCCCTTTTCTCTAGTGAGGTATAAAAATGTTTTCTGCAGAAGTTCTGAGTTATCTGATATTTTATTGGGAATTTTGAAGTGTTCAGGTATACTTCCTGTTAGTTGTGCCTTGTGCTATTTTCTTTATTAAGTGCAGGCATCTTTCTCCTTTAATTTCTATGTTATTTCTGTGTAATTACACATTTAAGGATCATTTGTGTCTATGTTACAGATGTCGGTATACATTTTAAAGGGCCTTACTCATCAGGTTAGTAAGGTACACTTCATCAAATCTGCAGCCTTCTCTGGCAGAAACATTTTCAGTACTCTGGACAGAGCTTTTAAAGTTTCTTAGGCAAAGAATGTGCCTTAATCATTTTCTAAATAACCACCTCTCTTAAGGAAAAAAAAAAAAATCCTTGGTTATTTACACTCTGCATGAGAATGTATACAATCTAGATGTTTTAATTGCATCCCCTAGAGTTTTGTGTTGTCAAAAGGCCATGTTTTGCCTGTGGCTTATATACTCAAGAAGAAACCAAACTCTTAAATGTTCATTTATGAAAAGACATGCTGAAATTGTTTTGGGAAGGAAGAGTATTTGAATAATCCAATAACTCACTTCCTTCCATAGATAGATACAAAATTCTTCCATTATTTCGTAACACACATTTTGGACAGTATGGCAAACACCCATGGGGAAGCTGAGAAGTTCACTTGTAGATAACATGTCCACAAAGACTGTCCATACTTTGAAAATACTTGTATAACCAAATACCATTTTCTGTTTTTCTCTGATTGGAAAACATTGAAATGTTTTACATTTTTTAAGACATTTTCTAATACAATCATTGGTCTCACTTTTGTGACTAAATGATTTTTATAATTCTTATTTTGCTTTTCTTCAAAACATTGAATATTTTATAGGATTGCTTCTATATCATCTCTAAAAGAATGGTCAGAAAATTTAGATAAGAAAGCTTAATTAAATGACAATAAACAATATACCTATTTTATCCCAGACTTTGTATCCTCATGGGCTAAGTATACACACCTAAATATACTCCCTCATATATTTTGCTGTGGGATTAATATATATTATAATGTAAAGTACCACATTTATTTGTATTATTTAAATTCACATGTAGATAGGTCAAACAAATTTATAAAACAGGAACTTTCTTTTGATATATGTGAATATATGTGGCATATGCTAAATTAATTTAGCTAGAAGTTTGTGTATTCTGAAAATATAAAGGAGAAACATTCCAGTTTAGAAATTCATGATACTATTCCTATTCAGAAATTAGTTCCCAAATACCATTTAGTTGCCATTTCAGTCAGCAAGTGGAGTTTAGGAGACATAATAAGATATGAGCATCCAAAGAAATATTTTTATTTCACATTTTTATACCCCAAGAAAAGAAAGTTTGAATTTTTATTATGCATTTTCCACTATATATAAATGAAATAATATATTTTCATGTTTTATTATCTCAGTTGTTTAAAAGTATTTTAATATAATATTATGTCTCAGGCTTATTCTTATTTCATTTCACAGAGAGGAGGAAAAAAATCCACATTTTAGCAGTCCTAATTTTGTTTGAATTATATTTACCTTTGGCCAGAAGGAGAACTGAGCAAAATCTTGGTGTAAATTCATACTTTCTGTAATAACTACCATTTATTAAGCACATTAGGCACCAGGTTCAGTACTAGATATATTATTTTATTTAATCCAC